GACGGAGACAGAACTCGATTTCAGAGCTGTCCATCGGCCCGCTGTTTCGATATGCTCGTACCACGCGCGTCAGGAGCAGCACGGTTGGCCAAGCGGCTCATGCCTCCGAAACGAAACCTCTGCTTTGGATGGGATGGAAAAGCCGGAACCGCTGCCCCATTCCCAGGCTTCCCGGTCCATCTCTTCCTCGTTCAATCTCATCTTGCTTGTTAGTATTTTACCTCCTCGGTCTCCTATCCTCCTCCCACGTCACGACTCGACTCGACCCGATTTGACTGACTAACCGTCGGCTGCCTCTCGTGTGTACTTGTCACTTACCTTTCCACTCGGCTATCGTCGCCAGCGTATCTCGATGGGGAAGTGTGGCCTATGTCAGACCAAGTCTGCCTACGTGTCTGTTATGATTGATGCTGCTATATCAAAGGCCATTACACTCAGCTTTTAGCAAACCTACCTTTGTCAGTGCTTTTACCTAGGTTGGGCAGTCGGGAGTAATCATTGTGACGAGGCGGCGGGTGTGGCAGCCCCCCATCGTCCTTATGTTGAGAGAGACGGGGAGCGATGCGTACTTGAGTGCGGGAGGTTGTTGCTCTCTTCTCCGCCGACCAACATCAGCCTGAAAACCTTGCACGCCATTCCGTCGTGGGTTATGAGGCGCAATGATGAATGACGGTAGAGGCATAGAGAGTATGTGCGAGGCCCAGACCAAGATCTAATCATCTTGTGCCGTCTCCAAGGTGGTCAGTGCAGAGGCTGAAATAGGTGATGGGTGGGTTGAATTCACATGTGCCTACAATCTGCCTACGTCGAGCCCACATATTGAATCACTTGTTATTTTTTGCATCGATGTGCAAGTACTTGCTATATTTTGACTCCTGAGATGGATCGCTGCCAGTTTTTGGTTTTTGTTTCTCTCGGCCGTCCACCTTTCCCCCTCTTTTCTTACCCCCACCCATCTGCTCGAGTCGTGCACACCTACTACGTAAGGTAGAGAAGCCCCAGTTTTCGCCCTTCTATCCGGATGAACCCTGGACAGAGCAGCAAAATGTATGTTTTTTGGTTTGCTAACACTCGAGATGTGGAAATAATAATAATACTGGGACTCGTCTGGCTCATACTCTCTTCTTCTATCATGCTCATGTGTACTAACAATGGGAGGATAATTATTACTTAGATTCCATCTAGTCCCGAAACGCCCCGGAGCTCATTCGAGGCCTTCGTCGAGCTCATGTTGAATGACGCCGGCCCGTGTCAATATCATGCTTCGCTCTCGTCGATCCATTTCTGTTTCGCAGTTGAAGTTTATATACAGAAATCCTTGCCTAAAGAAACTCCGTTTTTGGCGTTGTTCTTCGCTGATGCCCGTCATCAAAGCCTCCTCGTGACAGGAAGCCCTTCATCATTACTTACTCCACTTGTTCCCATCGTCGCTCGCGCAGAGGCTTTTCCTTGTTGGCTGCGGCTCTGCTGCCATCCCTTTCTTCCTTCCAGGCCCAATACTCTGCGAGACGCGTCTCGGCGTAAGATGCGTAGTCAAAGTCGATCTCCGAGATGACAGCTTGGATAAGCGCCCAGATGCCCCAGTAAAAGCCTGGTACGCCACGGAACAGGTCTACCTCGTCGTTGAGTTTCTTTACTTCCGTCTCCAAGTCGATGATGTTCTTGCCAGGCAAAATCTTGAAGTAGGCGCGGACATACTCATCGATGAATTCACGACGCTGGCTTCGGCTAGGCAGCGCGCTGTAGTCGCAGTCAAAACCGCCCCATTCGGCGAAGTGGTTGGCGATGTCGAATGCAGCTGGCGACGGGGTTGCGTACTCGTAGTCGATGAACGTGACCGAGACTTGATCCTTAGCGCCACTCGCAGCGTAAGTCGTCGGTAACACAATGACGTTCCCGCTCAAAAGGTCGCAGTGGGCAAACACAAGCTGTGAGCCGGGACTAGTTAGCCAACAATATTCCACAGAGCGATTCAGGTGAGTATTTCTTACCCCATCGACCCCCAATCCAGGGCGCTGGCTGAATTCATTCACAAGCCATTCTAGCTCGTGCTGTAACTTGTCCTGTCTCTGTCTCTGTTCTAATGTATCCGTGGGCAGGGCCAATATCCATTTCTGCATTACGGTCCAGACATTCGGCGTTGGCTTTCCGGGCGCGGCATTCTCAATCATCTCGTCCCGGTCTAGGTGGCTGTGGTCTCCATTTTCCCTGGCGATGCCGTTCTTCGATGTCGGATGCGTCAGGCAAGGGACAGTGGCGTGCCATTGAGCCAATCTTCTGGCGACGGCGGTGTAGATGGATGGCTTCCTGAGGTCCTCGGGGGCGGTTACGCTGCCTTTGACGAAGCGATAGAGCATGCCATTCTTGAAGCGAGCAAGCAGCTCGGGTGCCAAGCCATACTTCATGAGAAGCTCATGGTTCTGAGCCTCGCGCTCGCGATCAATGAGAACGGCGGTTCCACTGCCATAGGCCCGCAACAGTATAGCCTCCCTGTCCACCTCCTCCGTGGACCACCCTTTTCGCTTATTGATGGCTTTGAGCAAGGTGTTGGTGATGCCGTCGGTGAAGCGAACAAACTCGATCTTGTCATCGGCGGTGTCCCAGTCTGGTCGAACAGTCAGGATCAAACGAGTGGCGGATTGCTGAGAGTCTTCGCTATCGTAGGGGAGGGGGAGGAATGGAACGTGGGCAGACGTCAACCCGTTCGGGTGGCCGTTGCTCGCACCTTGGGTCATGGCTGGACCGTCAAGGTTGTTGGTGATGGGAAGGAAGGTAAATGTCGAGAGCCCAGACAATAGCGGGAGGGCAATGGCTACAAGGTGACCGGTCTTCGAGGGTGATGGTCTACGACAGCTATGCAAATCGTCAAAGTCGAGCCAGGTTGCGTTAAGTTCAACGACAGATTGCGAATAGGGGTGTTGAGGCGGTCTGAGATAGGCAAGGGGTCGCAAGGGAGGTCGATGATTCGAGGGAGGAGCCGACAGGAGGCGGATATGGTAAGGGCCAGATTGACAGAAAATGTGCCAACAATTCGAATTGATGGGGGCGTGAAGAGTCGAAGAAGGGGAGAGAGGGGGGAGAGAATATTGAGACTGGGGAGTAAATGGTGGACAGGTTGACAGGGAAGGGGCAGGACTTTCAGTATTAAAGTCGAGAACCAGTTGTCGTCTTTGGCGCGAATCGAGTCAAGCGGAGCACACGACCTGTTGCCTTCCTCGTTGCGGAGCCGAAGGTCGAAAAAAAAGTCGTCGCTAAGCCAGGTAGTTTAATGAAGATGAGTTCTCGTTGGGGGTGTGGTTTTTGGCGGTGGGCAGTGGCTATCCTCCTTTGGTCGTCGGTCAAGGAAAGGAAGCAAACAATAACGCAGGCAGCCAGCCAGCCAGCCAGGGAATAGCTGATACTAAGGTAGCAGGTTCGGTAGAGTTACAGAGATGCTGAGAGATGAAAAGGCAATAGGCAGGACATGTGAAAGCCACTGGGACCGCCACATTTTCAATTTAGGGACTCTACTGCCCGTAGGCGGGGGGGGGGGGGGGGGGGGGGGGGGTGGATTTCTTGACCCGTTGCAGTGTTCGTAGGTACCGACTGCCTACCTTACCTATTGTCTTTCATGTGTGTTGCAGCGACCCCAACGCCAGCGCCAGAGCCAGATTTGCTTCCCAGGGGCGCAATTGATTCAACGATCCCGTATTTGTTGGCCTTTGCGCTGGACGCGTGGCACGAGCGTCAGTCTGTCGTCGGGTGAGAGACAAGCGGGTGGGCGAGGCGGGGGCGAGGCGGGGTCCAAGAGCTTCTTTCTCTCTCTGCTCTCCCCCATTGCTTTCTCTCGTTTGCTCGTGTGCGAGAGTGTGCTTTTTTTCCTTTATTGGAACGGTTTCCCCGCCGCCACCAAAGCTGCCCGGAAGTATTAGTTCTGGCTATTTTCCAGGGCCTTGCAGCTGCTGCTACCTGTTCTTGCATGCAGTGCGACAACCAACCACGAGAGCCTGGATCGCCCGGGACTGGACGAATTAGACAGCCACTTGGCCATATCCTCCCTCGGCATTGGCCGCTTTCTCCCCCGACCTGGATGATGGATCGTAAATGACCCCCAAAAGTTGGGGCTCCCATGTCGTTCTTTCGTCATTGTTGTAGCCGAGCAGGTCTCGTCATGTCACCTGTCACCTGTCACCACTGCCCGCCCTAGCACGCTCACCGACTACATGTGTCTCTCCTCGAAGCATTTCATATGTCGCTGCGCTTGTCTAGGAGCTCAGGCCAGTGTTTGGCAGGAAGGAGATAAGGAAATTCCGCGATACAGCCTAGCTCGAAGGTATGCGTGGATACTGCGTAGTACTTGGAGATGGGGGCTTTTTGGAGGGGGGGACTCCGAGACATGTGACGGCTCTGGGTTCAGACCCGCATTGGAAGACCCTTTGACAGTGTTTCCGCCTGGGCACACGAATAAACTTCCTCGAAAGTACCAGCTGGAGCATGCTACCACTGCTGCCCACCGCAGAAACCCTCACATGGGAGCCTCAACCCCACTCTAACATCGAAACGGCGTTCAGCCACATGCGCTTAGACCATCCTGCGCTTCCGCCCTCGCCGCCAAGCAGCAGCCTCTCGTCTATTGGCCGCGCGCGTTTCCGCTCTTGCTCACCCGTCCATTCACGGCGGCGCATCCCAACTAGATACTGTCGCACGTACAATTGTCCATCAACATCCATCCTTCCGTCGTTACGTACAAACATCGGATCGCGCCCAGCCAACGACCCTGCGCACCATTTACTCGTTGCAACCCTGCCGACGAGCTGCATTTTGGGAGGATGGGATGTAGATTGCCTGCTTGCCGCCTTATCTAGCGTCGAATTCCTTGGTGTCCGTCCGTTCCAACCACGCGGCTGGAATATGACGATGCCTGCTGGACCACTCCCACGGTGCTCATCATTGACAGCTTAGAGCCGTTTGAATATCCCTCCAAACGAGCCATTGTCCCCGTGACACCGATTTTTGCCGACATGGCGCAGCCCGTGCTCCCGAACCCCTCCAACTTTCTAGCCGTGGCGCTCGTCATCAACCGATCTCGTGATGGCCCCAATTTCGTCTTTCACTACCCGCCCCAGGTTCTGCCCCCAAATAAATCAAAGAGCCACGAGCCGGCAGATACCGCCGCGGATAGCGATGACATTCTGCTTGAGCGTCTAAATCAACCCGCCTCGCTTGACGCGGATGCGAACGCGGACGATCTGCAGCAATGGACCGCGGGAGATGATCACCTGATCACCGACGAAGGCACTCAGATCGTGCCCTGGGAGCATGTGGCTGGCTTTCCTACGAAAGATCTCGCCAGTATCTTAACCCCCGGAAGAGCCTATCACAAGAAACTCTTCCAGCTGTCTCTCGACCCACTGTACTGCGTCTCTTATCCCATCCACGTGCCCGAAAGTGGTAGCTGGAAGAAAAAGAAAAAGAAGAAAGGGAAGCCGGAGAGGGCCAAATCTGTGCGGACGGAGGAGTCGGCCGTCTTGGTTGACTATGAACCAAACGAGGACAATGACGAAACGCCCACTGGCGCCGACGCATCTCAGACAGAACCAAGAGACGATGAAAAGCTCCAGCCGGAGGAGGTGGATGACAAACGCGCTTCCATGACCATGTTCAACCTGGTCTTTATTCTCAACCCGAGGAAGCAGGAGGCCAAGGAGCTCATCGACACTCTGTATCTGAACATTATTAAGAAAGTGAACAAGGCCTACAAATACTGCCAACAACACAGTGAGTTCGTGTGGAAAGAGTCAAAACGCATCTCTGCATTGAAAGATAAGGGCCGCGAAGACAGTAAGTTGAACGGCAATTGTTTTTGTGACATCAATGCTGACGCCGTGCTGTAGAACGCAAGATGAGCTCCTTGTGGAGCGAGATATTAGCAACCTCGTCTCTCGCCGCCTCCGTCCAGGACATTTATGAAGCCGTATCTCAAAACAAGATTGCGGCTCTGCAACTCGACACGACAGCTGGGCCCATCACACCCTCCGTTCAGATTCCCGTGCCATTCTACGTTACCGACCTCCACCAAATCGGTCAGAAGGAGTCCAGAGGTCTCTGGCTGACAACAGCCAACTCCTTTACAGGGGAAGACACCCTGGACGAGCCCGGCTTCCTGGATCGCAACTTCGCATTGCTTCTAATGGGGGATGAGAAGAAAATCATTGCTGAGCTGCAGGCAGACCCAGACCCCAGCACAGTCGCCATGGTCGAGTTTGCTCGTTTGTCAAAGCCAACACAGTCGTGAGTCGACCCCCGCCCAATGCCTCGTAGCATTCTTTTTTCAAGTCTCTGATCGGAATATAGCTTCTATCAAGTCGGTCAAAGTAACGTACTGACGCTGAGCCAAGTGCGTAAGTACGCACAACACTTCATCTTTTGGCGCCGCGCCATTGCAATCCCGCCTCTGCACGCTCGTGATATCTACATCATGTCTCCGAACTGTGACACTCGCAACCTCCCCAGGGCTAGTTCAGAGTGGCAAAAGACATTCCCCCTGGCGCCGCCACTAACCAACTTCCTCGCCGAACTGTCCTACGCGCCGCGCCCGTACAAGCATTTCTGCCCTAGCAAGGCGCATCGCCCAACGTACTTGGCCATGCTGGCATGGCTGATGCGTGGTGCTTGGGTCACCCAGCTCTGCACCTTTGCATACGTCATCGTCTGGCCCGAGATAATATACGAGGTCGAACACAAGCTCGAGAGTGATGAGCTGCGCAAGGCCGACGACACCAGCTCTCTCAGCACCAGCAGCGGGGCGCGCAGCAGTAGTTCTGGCATCTTGAACCCCGTCGATGAGCAGTCCGAGACCGACGGGGCGGCAGGGGCGCACGTGCCGACGATGAGCGAGCAGGTGGCCGAAAAGGCCCGGCTGGAGCGCATCGCGGAGAAGACACAGCGCGAAGCTGCCGAGAAGGCCACGGCGCATGCCCGCAAGGTACTGCCGGCGGTGACGGACCACCCGTCAACCAATGACGCGCCGCACCTGGCGCGCATGGTGCCGTACATCATTGTCGACGCCAAGAAGGCCACGGGCAAAGACTCGCTCTACCTTTCGGCCATCGGCAAGCGCTTCAAGGATCCAAAAGTCGCCAAGGCGTGGCAAGATTTTTGGAAATACTTTAATGGGCAGACGGCGCTCGAGAGAATCGCATTGCAGGAGGACATGAAACGTAAGGAGGCTTGGAACCTGTTGACAGCGATGAGCGAGCATCTTCTTTGTGTGCGGCATTGGTAGAGACCATGCCGGCTCTGATATTCGACCCTGACCTCGTCTCGTCTGCGAGGGAAGTCTTGGGCGGCCGTCGGCAAACGCCTATACAGAAGTCATACACAACTACGAAGCCCGTGATGGGTGGAGCCAAGTGCAAAAAGTCACTAGCTTAATTATGGAAATATGAAAAGAGGGTATCATTGTATGGATGCAGGAGGAAAATGTGAGGTAACACACGCGCCACTTACGTGGAGAGGTCGGGACGTCACGCCGAGCATGGTAGATACAAAACAGACCGGGTTGACAAACGTAGGCATATAAAGAATACCTTAGCATTAAGAGGAGAGAGAGAGATGATGCTTGCGAAATAAAAGAAACGAGCTGCCTGGAATAAGAAGCGAGACCGCCCGCAAGATGAGGAGAATATAAATCTTGCAAATGCCCAACCGAACCCCCCAGAGGTATCACGACTGCCAGTAGATAAATGCTCGGTAAACCCAGGAAAGAAAAGGCAAGGAAACAGAGCGTAAAAGAACCAACGCAAACCTTTGGTAAATCCGCGTCATGTTGTTGCCCCTCCGCGCGCTTTCCGCCGTTGCCTACGTAACCGCAGATCCTGCCAACGCCGCTGCCTATGATCCAAACCCCTATTGACCAACCGAAGGATGCGAAGCCCACACAAGTATAAAAGTATGAGAACGAATCACACAACTGCATCTAGCTTAAGCCAGCTATAGGCCTCGCCAGTAGTAAAAAAAAAAAGGAAAAAAGCTGTCGTTCAAACGCCGTCGTCCCAAGATGCCACCCACGACACTATTGTGTCAAATCCATACCGAACTCGTCCTCTTCCTTGAAGTTCAGCGAAACAGGTCCACCTTCGTCGTCGTCTGGGTCGTTCCAGAACTCGCTCCCGGCTCCCAGGTCGTTGGTTAGGACAGCAGCTGCATCGTCCCGTGGGCTGACAGGAAGGCCATCGGGATTTGTAGAACCGTTGAGAGGTTCGCCGCGGTAGTCGGTGTGATGGGGAACCCTCAGCCCAGAGCCGCTTGCGCGTGAGTACCCCAAGTCATCGTTCTTCGAAATTGCCTCCATCAATTCCGTTTGCATGCGCTTCTCGTCTTCCGTGAGCTCGAACGGGAAGTGGCCGCCGAGTTCCGCAATTGCGTTCATGAGCTCCTCCTGCTGCTGAAGCTTCAAATGCAACATCCACATCAGATCTCTGGTCCAACTGACAGCGCCGTTGAGAATATCGCCCTTATTGGGGCCCTTGTCCTTGTCCTCAATGGGCAGGCCGGTCGTAATGTTGCCAGTCGTGCCACCAGCTGCGCGACGTGCACCGGGACCAGCAAGACCCGAGGTAGCTTGAGAGGGATTCGAGATGCCTGTGAGGGTGGGCGAGAGCGGCGTACCGTTCTGAATCATCTTGCGAATCTTCTCATCTTCCAGACGGTGCGCAGGCACCAGTCTGCTGAGGTCTTGGATTCTTTCATTGATATTATCTCGTCTCCTTCGCTCGACTAGGTTGTGGGACTCACGGCGCCGCTTGCGCTTCATTTCCTGTGAAGACACAGCAGCGGGCTGAACACCAAGCTTTGCGGGCATGGAAGTGCCCCCTTTCATCATTACTTCGTTCAGTTGAGCCAAGCCGGGCTGAATGGGCGACGAAAAGCCCGAGCCGTAAGATGCCGCCATGCTTCCAGTTGGTGTCTGCATCCACTGGCCGGCAGATGGCGACTTCTCATGCAAGCCTTGAGTTCTGATTGACTGTGAACCAAAGCCAGTGGTCTCAGGCACGGAGTGCATGGTCGACTTAGGCGTCATTGGGCTTCGGGTGTTGGAAGAGCTCTTCCGCTGCATTGCTTGGGCCATTCTGGCTCTGTTCTTGGCGTTGAGGTAATTGGCATCGGCGCTCTCGGCATTCATGTCTGATCCGGTCAAAGGCGAGCCCGAGTAAGAAATTGGCGAGTGTAGCGATGTACCGAGAGACTGGGGGTGGTGTAGCTGACGAAACTGCGAGTTATTGTAACTGTGAACGAATGGGCTCTGAATAGGGTCACCATCGGGGGTGTTGGAGTAACCGTTGATATGATTCTGATCCATGCCATGGTGAGAGCCGTAAATCGTCTGGTTGAAGCCCATGCCCATATCTGACATGCCGCCGAAATCTTGGCCGTGGCCGTGAATGCCAGGCTGGGTGTCGGTCGGACTGCCAAGGCCATCGAGAAGCTCGTCGTCGCCGAAAAGGGCAGAGCCACTCGAGAAGCCGTTGGAGTTGTTTGCAGAGTTTGAGTTGAAGTTATTGGAGTAGGATGATCCAAAGTTGCCGCCCATGGCAAGATCATTGGGATCGATGCTTCCGCCGCCAGCTCCGCCGTGGCCACCGTTAAACTGGCCGAAGCCGTGTTGTGCCATTTCGTGTCTTGTTCTCTCGAAGCGCAGTGTTGACTTATCGTGATTCAAGCGTGTCGGTTCCGTGATTGTCGGAGGCCTCGTGATACCTGGAGCTGCTCACACCGCCTGTCGTGGAGCAGAAAGGCTGAGCCGGCCGTGGAGGCTATGCAGGTCGTCGAGATGGGAAGAATTAAGGGTAACTTCGACAACTGCAAGGGGCCGGAAGGTTAGCGGTGCAATCCAGAGGCGTAAATGCAGACACAGTCATGCGTGAACCCAGGCTGCGCAGTTGCGCAGTTACGCGGGTCGTTGTCTTCGTTTCCGACAGACACGAGCGTAGCGGTTGGACATGCGGATGTTCTCCACACAAACAATGGACAGCCCCGAACGCCACCGAGGCAAGCGGAGTAAAGTAGGCAATGAGGGCGGGCGCGCCAAAAGCAGGACTGACTCACCGACTGGGTAGGAGTAAAACGGTTGAAAACGTACGGTATTTGCAGTCGACAGTCGCTTCTTGTCACACGGTGATTCAACGAAGCGTTGCAAAAGATGCCGGGACGGCGGCCTAAATAGAGCAGACCTGGTAGGGTGCGCGAGCGATTTCCAGCTAGGTGACAGTCGAGAAGGCGGGTGAGAGAAGACAGTGCGAGTGTGGGCGCTAGGGAGAGAGACAGAAAGTCAGAGCGAGGCGAGGGAGATGTTGGTCACTGTCTGTCGGTCAGTCGCAACGGGCGTCAAGATGTTAAAAAAGGCGATCGCCGCTTGTTTCGCTGGTGAAACAGAACAAATAAGAAGAGACGGCGTTTGGTTGTTGCACCTGAGAGAGAGAGAGAGAGAGAGACAGATGAAGGGAGAAGGAGGGAAAGTTGGCTGGAAGTGGTTGCGATGGAAGTGCGGTGTCGGGGACCCGAGGGTTTGTACGTAGGTAGGTCAGGTAGGTAGTGTGTGTTGGTGTAGCTGCCTCGGGGCTGGGTTGGTCTGGTCTGGCGAATAGTTAGTTGGCACTTTTTGGGGTTTGGATCGTGTGTAGGTAGTGTCAAGCAATGGACGAGGTGGTTTGCGGACACCGTCGCCGAGGCAGAGAGAGGGGCGGGCAGGCGGGCGAGTGAGCGAGCGAGGGGTGCAGAGGTCGGGTACCTTGACCTCGCCCGTACTGTGTGTATAGGTACAGTAAGGCAAGGCAGGGTAAGGTACCTAAGGTACCTAAGGTACCTTAGGGAACCCAGATGGGTAGGGTCGCAGTCGCAGTACTTGGGGGTGGGGTGAGGGGAAATGGGGCGCCGCGCTCCCTCTCTGTCTCTCTCACTTTCTGGCTTTCCCCGTCACACATAATCCTCAAGCCAGTGTGTCCAGGCGGTCTCCTACGTCAAGGGAGGACACGACTGCTCTGGAATGTGAGATGGAACTGGCCGTGAGTGATCCAGGCTCAGAGACAGGGGTTCGCAGAGGGGAAGGAACCAGCGAGGGTTTGCTGGGATGCGATGCGACAACACACCTGGGATCCAGGACTGGGAGAGGGAATGGTGGGCAAAGAGGTATGACAACGCCGGGGATGGGGGGCAAGGAATAGACAGGAATGAGTCGCAGAAAACAGGCGAGAGCAGAGCGAAAGCAACACGGATGCTGACTTAACTTACCTTGCTGTCTACGGGTAATAGTGCGGTGGTGGGTAAAGGTGTATGTACGCCGCGGCTGTTGTCCTTTCGAGGTAGCAAACGCTTTGGCTCGGCTGCTGCGCAGTGTCGCACAAGTACGAGCGAAAAGGTCGCAGGTAGTCTTGGGTTTGCAGGGGCACCTTAACTTGACGGACGCCGATACTCAAACTGAGGCGATGAGAGTGAGAAGAAGAGCTGTCGAGTTGTGAGTAGCGGACGGGAGACTGCGCAAGGCAAGTCTAGTATGGCGTGGTAAAGTAGGTATGTAAAGGTGAGTGAGCACCGAGACTGGTTCGTGACCGCCGGTTCGGACGGGTCGGGGTTAAGGCGAGGCAGTCCAAGTCAGCCGTCTCGATGTGAAGTCGGTGTCTCTCCTCTGTCCTAGCTCGACGTCAGCTCATGTACTTGCACTCGGCAGGATTTTGGACGTTGGGCGACGTACTTGGGACGAGATGGTGTTAATGCGCGGGCAACACCGTGGAGCGTGCGACCATGGATCCAGCAGCAGTCTTGCGACCAGTCAGATGTCGCGTCTTCTGAAGGGGTATGGGAGAAACGGGGAGAAGGAGAGATAGACCACTCGAGCCGAACAGAAGCCAGAGTATATGGCCAAGTATAATAGATGGTTGGCGGAACAAGCGGCTCTGAGGCTGAGTCGTGACGGTAGGGGGAGCGAAGGATGGATGGGTGAGCATGGACTGGGGTTGCGGTTCCAGCGTACGACGAGCTATCCGTATGTACTTTGCAGTGCAATGGAGGGCAAAAGGCAGGGCAGGGCAGGCAAGAGCAGAGCAGAGCAGAGCTATCTGCTTCGACGGGAGGGAGATACTTGGCCAGCCTTGCGTCAAGTCTCCGAGGGCAACGACTGCATGGAAGACTGGAAGAAACGGGGGAAATAAGTACGTACTTGGTTGGACGTTGGGGGCTGTTTGTGATAAGTGCTCCCCAATTCGGTGACGGGACGTAATAAATGGGGTT